GCCTGTGTATCTTACATTTCATTGAGCAGTTAACAAGCTATGCCATCCGTTCATTTCTCCGAAGTATGTTGCTTACCTTTACCTTGAAGATTTTAACTCCCTTATTGTTCTTTCATTCTTCCTCTAGCTCAATACACAATGCTACATTTGAAATCATTTTGCTTATTTGTTCAACAGAACAGGAATAGCAATAAATGTCTTTCAATATCCCTGCTTTTATTTCTTTTTATAACTGTCTTTATGATTAATAGCCTGTGTACACTTCTCAATGTATTAGTAGCTGAAAGACTGCCTCAAAGCTATCATCATACATTTTCTCTGGGACTTAGAAACCCAGTATTTATACCACATTCAATACATGAATAAATATTAGTAACTTGTTCTACAAACTTCCAGTCTATAAAATCAAAGAGAGATTTCAGAAGTACTAATTTGGAAAAATACCACTACCACCTATTCTATGTCATTTCCCACCAGCAGTCAATGTGGCACAGTGGCATAGAGCTGCATATTTCAACTAATGCATGTATGTGTAATTGGATAATAGTTTTGTTGTCAGTCATTCTCTCTATGTTCGTGATGCTTAATGTTTTGGCCTGAATTTCCACCAAAAAATCCCTCATTTCCTGATATGCAATTATTATTTTGCCTCACATAGCTAAATTTAAGATGTGCAAGTGGGTAGTTTGTTAAAACACGTGTATATCCTAAAGAATGACCTCTGAAATAGAATTACCAGTGAATGCTGAAATTGAGTTTTCAATGGGCAATGACTAACAAGATTCAACCTCTTGATTTAGGGTGCTCGCTCTGTTGACAAAATATGCTGCAAAGTCCAAAAACGCTATCAGTAGTATGATCATGCGAACAAAAAGAATCATTAGTTCACTCATACATCATTCCAAGCTGAGTGACAGGTAAACAACTTGAAGGAACCAGCAACAGGAAAATCTTGTGATGAATTAGGGTGAAAGTGCTTTAAAGTTTGCACCAAAGCTGAAACAATGGTAAGAGGCCTCAGACATCTATTTCAGTTAAGACCAAATGCCATTTGTTAGAACAGGACTGGCCAGGACACTTCATTCAATCAGTATGGCCATAACTGTGTAAGATGGAAAACACATGAGGTGTGCTGGTCTTATCTTGTGAATAAAGATAACAATATAAGCCGAAAGTAGGAATTCCTGAAGAATCCATTGAAATCCTCCAAACTAGCAAGAGATGAGATACTGATGATATTGATGATTCATGCCTAACCAACATACTGTTCCATGACTGAGAGTTTGAAATGTAACATTATTTTGCATTAATAATGCATACGTGATACTTGCCATTCTGCAAGAAGAAGCCATAAGCAATCAAATCAGAGTTTTATATTTTCCCCACTCAGTTATGACCTTCCACATTCACTCGGTACGCACACAGCTCTAATTTTAAAATCAATACAAATACAGGTGTCTAACAATCTATATCTATCACTCAGCTACAGCTACCTCGTATCAGGGGAAAAATATCAAAGGATAACAGAAGCTCTCTCTCCCCCCTTATAAAGGTTTCAGAGTAAGACAATAAACCACATTGCTGCTTTAGACAATCATAGTACATACAAAATTACAGTTTTCAAATGAGCAAACATATCAAACAAACAAAAGAAAAAGGGATCAGTATCTGTTACCAGGCTAAACCCAAGCTTTCCACTTTCCAAGGTGATTAGAGACTGCTTATTATTAAAATTAATATTGCTTGTGCACTACTTAATTGGCTAGATTTCCAGCTGGTGAAATTCTACATGAATATAACTATTTCCTAATGAATAAAGCAGGCAACAGCTTCTAGAAACTTCTAGAGAGAACCCAGTAAAGGCTCTGTACAAAAGAAAGAGGCTGGGGCTTTTGTTTTACCAAGCCTAAAAGGTTCCCTATTTTACCTGTTAGAGTATACTTTCATTCACTTATTATTCTCTCAGAAAGAAATTCTTTTCCTGCAATATGGTGGGATGTTTCCCTTATCTCTTCATTAGCATCAGCTTACATAAGTGGAGTTACAGACAATCGTTTTAAGCACTGGAGTATCCTGCAGGTAGAGAGACCACCACTGTGTGTATTCATTAGAGGTCAACAGCTCTTTAAGGCAGGTTCCAACACTGGAGCTTGAGCATTGAAAAATGAGTTTATGGTGGGTCACAGAAATAAAAATGCATTATTCGGTTAGTCTCATTTTAGCTGTATACAGCATTCTGGCCACAGAAATGTACTGTTTTTTTGAGAAATCACATTGCAAGATGGGATCAAAGAGTGTCACAGCATGCAATGTTGTGACATGTTCCACAACAGCAATACTCACAATGAAAAAGAAAACCTCATAATTTAACAATCCTGAGCATCACCTACTTTGGCAACAATATTAGAAGTGGACATGTAATGGCCTATGGAAAGATAAATATACTATTGTACCCATTCAAAAAAAGCACCTTGCTCAGATAAGTAAGCAAGGAGTCAAAAAAAAAAAAACCACAAAAAAACAAATACCAAGATCTGAGCAGTAAAGCATAAAGATACCATCAGATTCTGTTTGAATCTCATAAAGACAGTATATTCCCTAATTAGTAGAAAATGTGAGGGCTGGTTTAGACCAGATGTACCTTCAAATTAATAAAACGTTAAGTATTGATGTTACTATTCTACACAGATATAAATAGGTTTTCATGGTGTCTGTTTGTCCTCTGAAAATGAATCACAAGATGTCACTGAAAGCATTCACTACTGGCTCTGCCTGCATACACACACAGAGCTTATATGTCACCCCCTGCAACCTACAGAAAGGCAATCCCAAGTATAACTATTGTTTCTTATAACTGAGCAGTGGTAAAGTACTGAAAACTGCAGTTTTCCCCTGCAATTTTGCTAGACATGTAGTTTACCCAAAAGTTACTATATCAGAACACCATCTCAAGCCAAGCTTCTGGTAGTCAGAATTACAGAATAAATGAATGAGTGAGCTAGTCTACAGTTTATCAGTATGGTTTTGCTCTTTTGCCTGCTGACAAGGCCTTTTACAAAGAGCAATACCTCACAAATTGCACATTGCCCCTTATCTTTCCATCATCTACTGTAAGCTTCATTTCAACACACTTGTCTGCTCCTCACTGCAATAATGACTCATGCAAACTATGTTCTACATCTCTCTACACTTGCCTTCTTCTCGTTCCAGCAAACACCTTTCATTGATGAAGGTCACATTTCCTCTCTACTGTTACTTTTCAGGAACAGTTTCATGGAGAAGACTTTCCAAGACAGTGAAACCACCCTTTATCAGTCAGAAAACTCCAGTCTTGTAGCGTGGACATGCACATATTTCTGTAAGAGGCACCTTCTGTGAAACATCAAGCTAAGGTGGTTGGCAATATCTGGCAACCACAGCCTGGGATGCACAGGCTGCTTTGCAGCTTCTGTCCAGGTGAAAAAGAACACGCTGTCTGAGACCTGCTCCTATCTACAAGGAACTGTTTTGTGAGTATGTATTTACATAGGCCTGAACTACAATCAGGCCTGAACTACAATCAGGTCTGCCAGACATATCAGTTGAGCTGAGGCACCACCAGAATTGAAAACCTAAGAGAAAGGAGCTGCTTTAAAAGATGAACACATTTATTGTCTTCATTGCTTGGAATAAAACATTGCTTGATACCTCATCTTGTACCAAGGGAAAGCACTACTGAAACTCTGACACTTCATAAATGGGGAAAATGATCAAGAACAGCATTTTTCAAGCCATTTTTCTTGGTGACACCATCTGACACACTATCTGTTCCAAGATAGAACCAAAATACCACTGATTGGTAGAGATACTGACAATAGGAGAGAATCAGACTCAGGAGATGACTCAAAACTAACATCTCCACAAACATTAATGTGTTATTTAGCCCCCTAACTCTATCTGAGTCAATGCCAATTTTGCATAGTCCTCAGGTACGTCATCACAATCTCTGGTATCAGAATTGCTGGGGTGAGGGGGTTGGGAATAATCTTTTTTGAAGCATAACTTTGAACTGCAAGTATCACCTGTGATTGATCACCTGTGAGGGAAGCCTATGGTATAGATCCTATACAGTTAAATCCTTTTCTAAAACAGTTACAAATCTAAAGGAACAACTGCAGCACAGGAACTAGATTCTTAATTGTACAAGAATACTGTGTCTTCTCAGTAGTGCAACTCCCATAATGATTTCAGAGCTCTCCTGTTAGAGCCCTCATACATGAAATGCGTCTCCCTACATCTCTCACCTATTATTCTTAGTACATCAAAGGCAAAGTTTGGATAAACAATCTTATCTTTTTCAGATCCCTCCTGTCACCCTCAAGAGCAAACAGATGGCTAACTAAGATGAGTAGGAACTACCCACATAGAAATTCAAAGGAAAACAACTCACTTTACAGTCACTGCTGCTCTTTGAGCTGTTCTGTCGGCTTGCCTTATGTTTCCACCGGCAGAGTACAGCACTGGTCATACCTGAGCTCTGAATGGCAGCTGGAAGCACACTGGTTTTGGTGGTTCATGATGAAGGCACAGGCTATACAGGCCTCTCTGTGACCCTTCATGAATGTAAATATTACTCCAAGCTTCTATACAAAAGATACAGTTAAACACATCCTGACCCACATGTAGCAGCTTGAACAGCAAGTTAGCTGTACTGCTTCCTAGTACACAACTGCTTTTAACAATCCTCAAAATGAGCCTCAAAAAGGCTTCCTTTAATTCAACTGTATGTTAGTCATACTTACATGAACAAACAAACAAAAATATTTTTGTGTACAATGTTCCTCTCCATGAGCTTTACAAATGTTCATATTAATAAATGGCAACAAAATCAATGACAAATGCAAAATATACCAGAGTAAGATTTCATTGAAAGACCAGTACATCTAGCAGATTGGTAATGCATAGCACATCCAAGCTAGGAAATGTTTTAAAAGAGAAACAGAAAGAAAGATTTCCATTACCTTAGAAGTCCTTATATCCCAAGATTTAACTTCTGGGCTGAACCCTCCACAAATGAAAATATTTGAGTCTGTAGGGTGGAACTTCAGTGAGCTGATCCTAAATTCATTTTTGCTGCTAAATATCTGCTTCCCTAGAATAAAGTAAGAAGCAGAGATTAACATTTGAGCAAAAACAAAAATGAAATATGTTATCTATTTCAACCTGGTTTTAAAAATAGCAATGTTACCAAAAGTGAATATGTTTATGTGAACACATTTCAAGTATCTAGGACTACTCTTGATTTACTGGAAATACAAGACTGACCTCACTAACTTCTATACATGTGAAACTGCTCCTGCTCATGGGCTTCAGCACCACTGACTGCTTCCTACTGAAAGGAGAGAACAAGCAGTTCCCCATACTGAGGAGATCCACCGAGGTCCCAGTTCAGTTGACATGAGGGACTAAATCCACAAATCCAATGATTGAATGTTTTCCTAGAGAAGCCATAGGCTTTCTTTCAGAGGGATAAAAATACCTAGAACAAAATATTGTTTTACATAAATACCATACCCAAACTGCACTACAACTCTTGTGATGTTTACTTATCTTTCTGTGAAGGTAGGAGTGAAACTTCATCTTGAAAGTAGGAAATAATTTGCATACCATCATATGAAGGCAATAGCTGTTCCCATGGATACACTGTTCCCAACGTTTAATTGTGTACACTAATCTCTGCAGGATCCTGTGGTTAGCATCATCTGGAGTGTCGACACTTTCAAAAGCAACAGCATTCAGCTAGGTTAATTTATGCGACTTTTCCACAGTCAACTGCTTCTTTTAATCCTAACAAATTCATGATACTAATGCATTTGCTGAAATACATTTTTTAGAAGAGCAGTATGCACCATGAAAAGTACATTTACTCAGTTTGCAATTTCAACTGTGCTTTAGTTTCTATGTATCACACATAAAGATCTACAGTAAATAAAGTTACTGCTTTAAGCCACAGTGAAGAAGGTACTGCAGATGTAAAAAAAAATAAAAATAAGAAAATAAAAAAAAATCACACACAACAAACCCTTAAAATATTGTGGCAAAAACTCCCTAGAATATTCATTAATCTACATTTTCAGCAAGTAAGGGCTTTCTTACAACAGGCTTTCTTAACTGAAAATACTTTGAGTTAAAGATGTTGGTGATGGATATATTTACTTGCTATTAGATGAGGTTTTTTATGCTGAAGTTGGAGCCAATTTATTTGATTTCATCATCATTTCCATCTGCTGAACTCAACTTACAGTCAAGAGGCTAAGACTTGTCAATTCATTTATTTATTCATTTTAACAAGGAGAGATTTTACTTCATCACACATGTTCTTTGAGCTAGCAGGGCCAGGGAGAATAGACTGCAGGGAGCAGGAGGGAGGGGTGAGTGTTGTTCCATGTGAACACTGTTTTTTGTAGGGGTTTTCTGCTCTTTTTATAAAGATTCTCTACTAATTACCTATGCAAGATCTAAAGGGTCTCTCTGTCACTACTGAGTGAAAGACTTAATTTAGTCCGTAAGTACCTTCCCCCAAAAGAGAAAAAAGTCATAAGGGCAACAGAGTTTCTCTCTACAAGAAATATGCAACAGTGACCATATCTCACCATGGGAGCTTTCAGTACCCCAAAAGCTACAGAATCAGGGAAAAAAATTCCCAAGAAAACCAGAAAAACCCACAAAAAAAAAAAAATCCACAGGGAAGGAAGAAAATATTAAAATCATTAATTATAGGAACAACAAGATATTGCTCTCAAGTACACCACTACCAGGCATCATTTGCAAGCTTTAGAAAGGTCATATACACATGCATCTTATTCTCATCCTCAACACTTGAGAAAATATTGGATTTCCCTGTGGAGACACACTAGTCAGTTTAATAGCTCTTTGCTCCTAAAGGAATTTGGTTCCTAGTAGTATCTAGTTTAATAAACAATCTGTGAGTGTAGTCACCAAGTTTTCATCTTCATACGGGAGGTGCTCCAGTCCCCTGATCATCCTCGTGGCCCTCCTCTGGACTTGCTTCAACAGTTCCATGTCCTTTTTATGCTGAGGACACCAGAACTGCACACAATACTCCAAGTGAGGTCTCACAAGAGCAGAGTAAAGGGGCAGGATCAACTCCTTCAACCTGCTGGTCATGTTTCTCTTGATACAGTTGGCTTTCTGGGCTGCAAGCGCACACTGCTGGCTCATTTCATTTTCTCATCGACCAGCACCCCCAAGTCCTTCTCCGCAGGGCTTCTCTGAATCTCTTCTCTAAAGGGATATTAATATATCCCTTGAATCTTGAATATATCCCTTGAACCTTTCCTTTTATATATTAGGACTGCAGAGCTGAAGTACTCAGGCACATTCTCTACACAGTTATGAAATCTGTCACTGTATATCTTTCTGAACTTCAGATATTTAGGAAAAATATCCGAGAGACAGAACAGATCACTGCAGAACATGATATGTGGCAAAACAGCTCATGCAATCCAGTATTTTAAAACAACAAATTCAACTTTTAGTTCTCTTTTGTGCAAACTTTACTTAGTGTGTTTTACTACCATAAGCAGAATTTCCTGCTTTCCAGGCTGCAACCATGCTATGATGGATCTAAGCTACATGGGTTGGGAAACCCAGCTTCAGTGTTTGTTGGAGACCCTGCTTCACCTTCCTGGAAGTCGGTATTCACAGTTAGGTATATTTTTCTCTAAAACTATACAGCTGATTAACATTAAGCATACAACTTTTGGGGGCCTTATTTTATATGTTGCGAAAGATGTTCTTCGAGCAGAAGACTCTCTTATCCACAAAAGAATACAACAGGTATAATTCAGCAAGCTTGTGTATACTTACTGTACATATATTTATTGCATTTTAGTTCATAAAGGCAGCATAACAAAGATTCAACCAACTCATAGACTGTAAAAAATTATATCTTCTAAAAATCTATTTGGCTAATAGAGGGAAAATCTATATCCCATATCATTTTCCTGTATAAGAGGTTGTTCTTCCAAAAGCAGAAAACAAATATTTCTCTCAATCTTTAATTTTACAATTTCAGTAACAAGATCTACCTCATCTTTACAGTGTGTTTTTTATTCTTAAAGTGCTTTAATTCAATTCTTCATTTATTAAAGGCTCACCAGTAACATACGCAGTATGAAAAAAATCTTTTAAAAGATCTTGAACATATGTTTCTGGCAGCCTACTGTGAAACTGCTCAACTATGAAATCAGATATTTTAAAGGCTGTTTAACATGGTGAATTTTTCAGGGAATATCAGCACAGTTACTGAGCACAGGATGCTTCTGTAACTGTGTTTAGTGGTTCTCAGGTTCACACCCCTACCTGCATAATCCAGAATCATTCACTGCCTTACACTATTCTGTAGGAAAAGTGAAGCCACATTACAAGGACATGAGAGTAAGCTCACTTAGCTGAATAAGAACTTCCCTGACCATATGCATTAAAAAAAAAAAAAACAAACAAAATCACGTCAACTGGGCTTTTTTTCTGAAGTGTTGTAGAAAACTTTTATGCATATTAAAACAACATACTATCAACATATTACTGGGAGAGAAGAGGAGGAATAGAATGAAGTCACAGCTCTCCTGAGGTGATGCTTATGTATGAGCACTTGTCCTGGTGAACCAGAATCTCCTACGTGAACAAATACAATTATATTTATTAACAATAATGTTATATCTATAGGATTACCAAATTAGAATATAAAAGAAAATACAGAAAAACAAACTTGCACCATCCTACTGGAGGGTACAAAATGTTCCATTAAGAGACTCAAAATAATGCAAAAAGTTTGTTTCGTTTTCAAAAACCCTGACAGTTTTAAGTGACCACATTATATATAATCTGAACTTTCCTTCAAAACCAACAGCCTAATTTCAGTATCCTGCCCATGGTAATGTGAAAACTTTCAAAATAATGGGAAATTATATTTCCCATTATAAAACTCTGAGGAAGTTATATTTGAAATCAAGCTCAGTCCATGAACTAAAATATAACTGCAGCATTTGGCAACATAGGAAATGTGCCAGAATGTCTTGGAACATTCCCTCTGTCATAGTATTAAAGAAATGAGAAGTATCTGTAATATGCAAATAGTACCAATCTGGCCAGTGTTCTGCCTATGCTACTGTACCAATTATTTGTGTCTAATAAAAAAATCCACTGATGAATAAAACATATATTCCAAAAATAAAATAGTTATAAATAAATTTTAAAATTAAAATTACCTTCCTAAAGTTGGTAAAGCATCTCCATTGCATCTGGACATAATAAAAGCTAAATGTCAAATATACTTGACCTGGAATTGTTTTAAAAGCTTTTTTTTTCAGTGTTCTGTGAATATAGCACTACCTACTAATCTGTAAACAACAAAGTGTCTGAACTACCACTATTAGAAACTGACTGCAAGTGTGGTGCTAGTAGATGAACCGGGCAGTCTAGCTGGTTCAGACTGCTGCATTATTATCACATTTGTGAAAAATGCCAGAAAGTTTCACTTTTATAAAAAATACTTTATATAAAATAGGACAATAAAAAACATTAACAAGTAACCTTTACAGGCAGCTCAGCTGCAGGTTCTGCATCTACTAATATTTATAAATCTCCACATTGCAGTACTGAACATGCCTCATATAAATGGCAGCCAAAGAACCACTCATGCAAATAGCACATGAATAACCTTGAATTCTTTAAGTATTTTATGCATATTTCAGATCAGACTTATGCACTGAATAAGTACATCAGTTTTCAAGAAAACTGAATTTTTCTTGTGGAAAAATGGACCACTTGCAGAAAAGTGGAGCATCTTAGCTTGACTATCCTGAGGTTAGAAATATGGACGACCATTTAAGATAATAAATGATGATCTATAAAAAAAACAAATTTAGAAAAAGAAGACTTGTACAACAGTGTCTATTTCATCAAACCAGGACAAGTGAATTTGTTGTACCACGATAATTTGAACTCTTCTCTTTCCCTGTTCTTCCATCATAGCATCAACAAACCGTACAGGTTGAACCTCCAGGGGGCATCTAGTCCAAACCCCTACTCAACAAGTAGGTCCAGCTGCAGCAGGTTACTTAGGGGTTACTGAAGTATCTGAGTATCTCCAAGTATAGTCCCTCTGGACAGCCTGCTTTAGTGTTTGATGACCCTTGAGTTGAGCAAAAGGTTTCCTGTGTTCTTACATTTGTCCTTTGCCTCTCACTCTTTCACTGCACATCTCTGAAAAGAGCCTGTCATAATCTTCTCTATGTACTAGGTAAACACTTACAAATCTGGCCCGAGATGAAGGTAACCTTTGCTGCAAGAAAGCAATGCTGATTCATCTTCAGCTTCAGAACCCCCAGGGTTTTTTTCTGCAAAGCTGCCTTATAGACAGTTTAGCAACAGACTGTTCTGTTGCACAGGATCATTCCATTCCAGATGCAGGACTTTGCATTATGAGGTTCCTCTTAGCCCATTTTCCCCGCTTGCAGCATCTTAGACCTCCCTATATATAAGAGCTTTCATTAAAGACACTTGACAAGAGGAAGCAGTTTGATGGCAAAAAAACTCAGGATAAGATTTCATGCATGTGTTTTACCTTTGCATGACAATTTCTATGCCAACAGCAACAAAAAAAAATCTGCTTTGTGATTAATGAGATTTCAGTGTCTGCTTCTATCCCAAAGTTCAGATCACAAAGATATTTAAAAAAAAAAAAAATCACTCCAGAACATATAACCTCCTAGGACAAGGGATACCCAAACTTAAGTCCAAGCTTAGAAACGAGATTTCCAGGGAAATTTATTCTGTCGCTGCTTGTTACAACATGCTGGCACATCTCTTGAAGAATCTTGTAACTAGCTGTCATCAGACCCAGAACAATTAGCTAGACTACAATTTTGATTTAATAGGGCAGAAACTATGTTCCTAACAGAAAATCAACACAAAATCACAAAATGACAAAAAAACAAACAAACAAAAAAACAACAAAACAAGCTCCAACTAAGCAGCTCAATACCATGCATGTTCTAAGCTCCATTTGCAACCTTTACTAAACTTTTGAAAGTAATTCTCTTCAGATTGTTAGGTTTCTTTTGGTGAAGGACATGTAGAAACATTTATAGCACAGATGACATATATAGAATCCATACTGAAAAAGACAAGAATGATTAGACCTTGGCAAACATGACAAGAAAAACGCTGAACCAGAACCTAAAGAAGAGACAGAGCACAGAGCCTGTGCATTATTGCTTATAAAATCTCATCAGCATGCATTTACTGGATTTAAACACACTGGTAGTTAGTTCAGTCTAGCAACAGACAGTAATTAAGATCGAAATCCAAAAATGCATCTAAGTTCTCTGTGAAGGAACAGTTCTAACAACTATCTGAAGTTAATCAAAGAAGAAATCATCTCAGCACTGATGAAGAGTGAGGAGGAATGAATGATTCAGTGAACTAATGTAAATCAAAACCTTATAGCCATCTTAGTGTTTTTCAAATGGAAATGAGTCTTTTTATATCAAATTGGTTTGGATTCCAGAGGGAAACTGCTTGCCCTGTTTCCCTGAAAAGAATTGACAAAAGAGAAGGAAATCAGAAACTGATCTGTATGTATAGAAAATTACAATGAAATTCTGATCACTTGTGTGATTTTTTGCAAATGAAGTGTGTGTCACTAAGTCAGGTCTAAACATCAACATTACAATCGCAGCTCGCATGAGTTACAAGGAATCCCGTGTCCTTGAAAGAAGGCAATAATGAATATCTGGTATTTGCAAGGATTATAAGCATTCATTTTACCTTTACACATAGTTTAAGTAGTTAGAAATACTACATAACTCACAAGTTGGTTTCAAATTTGTTATTGTTGTCATTGCCTAAAACACGGAAGTACCTTCATCCAAATGAAACACTACCAACAAGATAAACCAGACTACTATCCCACTACTGGACAGCTGAGTCAAAAAGACGTTAGAAATTAAAGCATATAATTAAATTATATCATTATATCTTTGGAATCTGTTCTATTGCTTTATAAAATGAGATTTTCCCCACAGTAATCCCCTGTGCACTCATGCACATCAAATTTATTCTACTGCTATAAATCCCATTAAGAATGTAGCCATTCGGTTTAGAATTTGTAAGCACAACTCGCATTAGTAAGATTCAGATATATAAGAGGCTAAAAATTAGAAGGTTGCTGCAATGAGACTGAAAATAAAAAATTTAACAGTAAGTTTAACAAATTAATGACTTGGTACATTAACCTCACGTAATATTACTATATCAGATATATAAAGCTCTTTTATCCCATTATAAAACATCAATATTCTCAAACATCAATATTTGGTAACTGTGTCACAGGTTTTACATTCCCAAACTATGGCAGCTCCCTTCCAGTCACCACTGAATTTAAATATTTCTGGTATGACAAGTGTTGAGAAAAATAAAATCTTACAGCATGGAAAAGAATCTTCTTTTCACGTGAACAATATTCACAAATTTCCTTGGCCACTTTCCCAGTTCATCTGAATAGGATTACTGCTCTCCAGATACTTGCATACAATGTACTTCCTTTACATAACAGAGAACCCTCCTAGATGAGAACTGCTTGTAATTTTTGTAAGTATTTCTTTTCTGGTCTTACCAAGAAAAAAAAAATTGCACCTTTGCGGGAGTTAAACATTTAAAAGTAAATTAAGTGGAAAAAATAAATTTACATCTCTTCAGTTGACAAGCTACTATTTTAGGTCTAATCATTTATACACACGCAGAGGTGTCCTATTATGTACAGCCCCAATGAATGCTGCCATTTGAATGCTGGTAACATGCATAAAGGAGAAAAGAAATATAGCTAATAGAACCACTTTAGTTTGTGAAGGCAACATGAGGAGAAACGCATCCTGGAAATTAGCTGCTAAGGTCACAACATTCCAATCCCAAATCACAACTGCATCAAAACAACACAGGTTCAGTCTCAAGGTTTCATAACAGAATTTAAGTTTCTATTTAAAAAAATTAAAAATAATTAACTTTAAGCACAAACTTAAAACCAATCCCACTGAGAATGAGATACAAGCCTATATTTAAATTAACCATATGTATATATGTTACTGAAGTCAGCTTTAAGAAGCTCTTCAAATACTTTAATGAAGGATTATGACACAGCATACAAAAAATACACATTCTGTATCTGATGATAGAAATTACATATGTTCATGAAGTTAAAGATACTTGAATTTTCTTAACTATCTCCAACTACCCTTAACTGCCGAGACTTTTTAGTGAGGCCATGTTTCAATAATTCTAACTTGCAACTCAGATTTTATCTATATTTTTAAAAGAAAGAATAAGGCTAGTGAGATACAAAGTTATCTGTACTCGATAAATATATCCTATAATGCCCCTTACGTGATCTTTACCTGTTTCTACATCTGTTAAATGCAGCATGGAATCAAAGCCCCCACTAAGGATCCTTCTTCCACAAGATGACCACTGGGCAGCTCGAACAGCACAAGAGTGACAGGAGTATGTTTTCAAACAGCAGCCTGTATCTACAGCATCCCATACCTTAAAAAAAAAAAAGGAAAACAAAAACCTCATGAAGAATCATGGCATTTTTTTCAATGTATTGATAAGTAGCCACAGCAAATCACTGTGGCTGAGAAAGCTTTGAATTCTGAATTCAAATACTGCTAAGCTGTAGAATTCTGTTTGAAATAATAGCATGGTTTATAAGAAATAGCGCATTTTATTAACAAGGCACAAATCACGACTACATTTCTATAGAAACATAGAATGGTTTGGGTTGGAAGGAATCTTAAGCCCCCTTGCCTTTCCAACTAGACCAGGTTGCTCAAAGCCCCATCCAACCTGGCCTTGAACACTGCCAAGGTTTATGACTTTATGAGTTGTTTCATTTCTTGAAATGTCTACACAGCTGTCAATGGCTATTCATGTAATACTTTCCCACTCATAATGCTGTCCTACCTCTGTGCAGGAACATATCCAAATACATTTGCTCTTAAAATAACTTTTCTTCCAAATTATTGTCTCTATCATGCCTTTGCTTTCTATCGAGTAAAAGGAATGCTAGCAGATTACAGCTTTCACATCTGCCTATAGATAGGCTACTGTAATATTTCTCACTCAGTTTGTAATTCACTTCACTGAGGAGGCAGATGGGAATATCATCATGCAACTACATGGAGACTTCTAAGGAGTGGCCTAAGTAATTTTTCAGTTTCTTCTGGACAGAATAAGGTTGATGCTGAGCATTTCTAAAAATCATGTTCTACTAGTTATCCATCATTTTTTTTAAAGTACATAACAACTAATATTTTTAGAACAAAGACAGACCTACTCATATGTTAAAAAGAATCTTTAAAGTGAAATGCAACTGTTCCAAAATAACATATTTTAGAGAATAGAACTAGTCTGAATTACAATTTCAGTTACCACATATAGTACATAATAATCAAAAGCACATCCTTTCCATGGTGCTCTTTTTGTCAGTTTTAAAATTAAAAGTTTAGCAACAAATGACCCATAAAAATATCCAGTATGCTCACCTCTGAGAGAAGGATAAATGTCAAAATTATTTTCCCTATCAACATTCTGTTTCAGTAAAAGATTATAAAATATTTTATGATTGCAAAATGCAATATAATACCTGTTGAGTTCTATAATAAAATAGATAACAAATGCTATAACCATACCAGTAAATCCTACATTTTATTAGTTCTAATATTAGTAGTACAAATAAATCAATGCTTTGACAGTGCTTCATGACAGTTTTATTGCAGTTTCAGTAAACCCAAGGAAGTTTATTGCTTTAAAGTCACCGTTTTACTTCATGGCACTTCAAGATGTGTCACTTTCTCCCTGCAAGAACTTGCAGAATGAAAGCAAACTGCCTAGGATCTTCAAAGTTTGTTCTGAATTTTGTCTATTCCAATCAACTTCTCAATTCTAAGATCATTTCTATAATGCTAGGAACAGATTAAGCAATTAAGAGAATACAAAACAAAAACCCACCTTTTTTTTTTAAAGTGAGAAACAATTCAACCTTAATGTACGTCAGCACAAGAGCATTGAAGTTAGCACTAAAATAAAATTGACTGCATATCTGTGCATTTTAAAGGACATTAAAAATAAAACCAACTTGGTAAATCAGAAAACATGAGTAGACATTTACTTTGCTGTGGCAACAGCACAATTCACAATACAAGAGAATGTAAAGGGGGATAAAAAAGCAAGACTCTTGGTAATGGATTTTTATCTTCAGTCATATTTTCTTCTCACTGAACAAAAAGGACTCTAAGACAATATCATTCTTACATAGTCCAAACTCAGCAGATAGCATTCCACTGCAGAAAATTATTTCAAAGAATCTTCTAGCATGGAGCACAATTCTGCAATGCAAAGCAACCAATATCATTAATTACTTTAACAGTCAGGTAAGACTGGAACCGTGATGGCCGTACCATACGTATTCTACCCTATCACAGGAAAAGAAATCAGGAAAATCTTAATATTAAACTGCTTTTGAAAGTAAGTTTCTCTGCTTTAATGAGATTTAATGATTATTTTAAGATTCACAGTATTAAAAAAAGGGTCAGTTGTGTCTTGGAGGGCTTCGAGGAAGCTAATGAAAGAACTAAGATGAAAGGGAAAAAAGGATGGTACATGCTTCAGATATTTTTCTGTCATGTTTTAATGATTAAGTATGAAACTCAATTTTCATGAGAAGTATGAAGCAAAGCAAGTTCAACAGCACTTCTGAGATTCTGCTTGATTAAAAATGTGTGTAAACGCAAAAAGCGCACCCCTAAAACTGCACATTTTCCTTCATTACATGAAATGCAACAAGCAATCAAATCCTGTGAATGAGACCACAGACTACACACAAGGTACAAGTTACTGAGCACTGCATTTCTCCCCACTGTTCAGCTTTTCATCAGGTCTTTTAGCTCACATAATGATGATGGTGCAATGCCTTCTGGAATTAGAGCCACGTGGGCAAGGTAGTCTTGACTGAGGAAATTCACTTTATTGTGAATTAACATAAACTTTTAATAACAGATTCAGGTGTTGAGGAAAAAAGACCAAGAGTTAAACGAGCACTTAGGGGAACCCCTTCCTTCCTCAGGTGCCACTTCAGTCCAGTGCTTCTCCTCCCCTGCTCCTACCCCAGCTTCACTTGTTTTTACTGGGTGATACACTCATCCCCTTCCACATCCCCGGTAGAGAATGGCCATCACAGGAGGCTGGGGTCAGGACAGGTTTCTTGCTGCCTCTCATTGCACTTCATTCTTTTCATCCCCTGCTCTTTGCTTCTTACTGCTTCTATGCTCCCTTGGTCCAACTGCACATCTCTTTCCTTATCTCCTCACATTGCCTTGTGTGTGTCCTCACATGCATCCTTCTGCTTCCTCGCGCGTCCTTGTGGCTGTGCCCTTTCTTCAGTATGTGTGACAGGGGAACTCACAACCCCCTCCCATACAGGCCACCCCTGCAGGTCTGGCTACCAAACCCCACAGTTAATGACTAATACAATCCATCAGTTTGACAGAAGAGTTAGGACAGACCTCCATCAACGTACGGTCCCATGCAATTCACTGGAGCCCACTAATGTGCTTTGAAATAACGGTGAGAGCTGCCACTTCTACTGTGGCTTTGCAGCCTAATGGGAAGAGAAGTTAAACAAGGCAATAGAAGATGGCAGACCCTGTCCTGCTGTGCAGTGGCAATGCTCTGCAAGCTTTCCCCAGGCACATTCAGTCCTAGGTATGGTTCCATACAACCCACCTGGGATTTTCCTTAAAGTCTCACATCTGGTGGATTTAGCTCAGTGTAACTTTGACACATTAGTGTGTGTCCTGATGCAACAGTGATACAGTGCAGTGTGCCCCCTGAAGAACAGTTTCAGAGCTTTATGTTTCAATATTCATCTTCCATAGGAAAAGAAAAGCTTTGCTTCCTATTTGCAAGTGGTATTTGATATTTACAGTTAACTTTTCAGCAATCACTTGAGAAATGCAACCATACCCACAGAAAGTCATTTAAAGGTGTGCAAACAAAAATGGGTGTGCAAAACTGAAATCAAGACAATTAAAGGACAAGCGATGCACTTTCTGTACAAATAAACTACAAAAGGGTGGGAGATGTGAATGCTCAACTATAACAGAATGTGTATGCCACAAGTTACAAACACCATTCCATGCCTAGAAGTGACAGAGATGTGAACCATGTTACACCAACAAATGGAGAATCTACTGTATTTCATTACCAAGGAAAGATGCTTCAACTCTCATCAGAGGATCATCACATAGCCACCATCAAGTCTGCATTTTCCTACAGTCTCTTAAGTAGTTCCTTATTCCTGCGTATTTCTACTGCTTAATCATAATTAGGGGAAAATGTTGCTAGAGGGAGAGTTCCAACGTAGCCTATCCAAAGCTTAAGACTAATGCCAACTCAGCAGTTGGTGCTTACTCCAAACAGGCAGCCACTGTCATTTAAAAAATTATATGAGTCCTTCCCATGTGAATTTGCCTCCAACAAACACTCAGATGTCAGATTAACAGATTCTCCAGGATGGCAGGCATTTCAGAAGTTTTCTTGCAACTGAGATAGCCAAGTGCTTCAAGAATAATGTGTGTGGAAATTCATTTTTTCCTAGTATTTTTTCTTCACTTTTTCCATATGCTGGGTATGCTGGCTCAAACTAAAATAGAACAATAAGCCTAAAAGACTGCATAGCAGTAACCAACAGAGTTGATGAAATGACCAAAGAGCATCCACCATGATGCCTGAACCCAGAATTCTCTAAATTACCAAGGTAAACGATAAACAGTTACTAACCAGTGGGTTAGACTGTGGCAATTCTGCTAGGAATATAAAACTGGGTTATAATACAGCCACCAGACTTCAGTCTCAAAAGAAAAATTTTTCAGAGCCTGATACAAAACAGGAGATGAGATTTCCCTAGGAATTAGGGCCAGTAAAAAATTCCTATTTCAAATGAGTGAAAATGCTGATCATGCTTTGCCTGCCAAAGAGGAACAGGAATCACAGACTCTTTCCCAGAAAAAGACCCAAACTCATTCTTCCGTGTGGCTTCAGAAAAAGGATTTGCACCCAAGAGCAGTCTAAAGCTGAAGGCAAAGGCTGCAACACTATGAAGTCATGGTTGTAACAACCACAGCTTTATTTTCAAAGTGTTTTTAAGAAATTAGATGTCTTCGAACCATTTAGAAAGTCACCAAAGGCTGGTGAACTTTAAGCTTATCTAATAACAAATGCTTTTTAAAAAGTTTTATAAAATAAACTCATAAGATTTACCTGGAATAAAGGCTTACATATTTAGTACATAATAAATTACTTGGGCAGGGGGAACAGTTCATTAAAAAATACACAGGCTGAGATACATACGTATCTCCTTCATAGGCATTGAAATGTTTATCAAGCATTATAGGACTAGACGCTATCATGCATCTGTCAAATGAAGACAGATTTATAATCAACTATTTTTACCAAGAGATCAACTGCTTGACTTCAAAACTCAG